TCGAAACTTTCTCGACAAGCTGGACACCCACCCGCGCGCGTTTTTTGTTGGACTGATTCCAGTTTAGTTTTGAAGTGGATAATAGGACATCCGTCAAGATGGCCGACTTTCGTTGCGAATCTCGTCAGTGAGATTCAGCTTGTCTGACGCTTGCTGGCGACTAGTGAGAATCGAGGATAATCCTGCGGACTGTGCTAGATTGAAGAAAATAAAGTTAAAAAATACACTTTTTTCTCAAGCCCTCCGATTTTGAGAAAAATTCTAGAAGTTTCCATTCATTTTTTCTTGGTTTGACAGTCATTTTTTGTGTTTAAACATTAATTTTTCCAATTGGAACCCCGCTTACTTTCAATTTAGATATCGAGGACGCGATATTTGCATGAAACCCCTGAGATTTTAAATGGTTTCTATTTGGAAAATCGAAAAATAAAAAAAAAATTTTTTTTAAAAATCACGTTTTTTTTTATAAAATCAAGTTTAACTTTTGATCTCATCATTTTTTCGAAAATCTGAAGTAATAAAATTGTTGAAATAAACTTTGAAAATCTGAAATGCAATTATTAAAATACTCGATAAAGTAGACAAACTAACATATTTATTTCGGAAATTGAATCTAGACTATTAACAAGGAGACCACCCCAGCTCCAGGTCATGATGGATTTGCTGTAAAATTTATTTGGGGTCTCCTAGTACCCAATACTGAAGCTTCCTGTTCTTAGTTTGATCTCATGGGCCTTAGGGCCCATTTTTGAGGATTTTCCACATTATAAAAAAATGGGCCCATGAGATCAAACTAAGTGCAGGGAGCTTCAGTATTGGGTACCAGGAGACCCCAAAAAAATTTTGGAGTAAATCCACGACCCGGAGCTGGAGTGGTCTCCTTGTAAGTTTAACATAAAATAATTCAAAATCGTGGTAATACTTTTTTTCAAAAGATTGGATAAGTGCAAGTATGACAGTCTTATTCTTATAATTTGAGTCTAACTCCAAAATCCTTTTTTTCTCATTTTGGAAAGGTTCAATCACAATTTGCGATTGAACTATTACTCAGCTATGATAGTAATGTAATCAAACATATTCCGACAACTATTCAGATAAACTGAAACTTTTTTTTCTAACGATAAACACTAAGTTTCAATAAAATGATTCAATAGTGATCATGTAAAACTAATATTTCTATGAAAAAATCTTATTCATAACTCTACCTGCCCGGACGTCTCGATACGCTGCATAGGCCAGGGATTATAGCTAGAAAGAGGTAATTTTTGAGCAAAAAAAGTCCTGCAATCTAACCCGGTAGATGTATAAAGTATTGAAAATGTTGCATTGTGGTGAGAATGTACCAACCAATTATTGTTTATAACAGAATGGCGTCCGTAAAACTGGAAAAATAAGCAAAAAAAGTGTTTTTTTCGGTTTTCAACGAAACGTGACGGACGAATCGTTGTGAGTACAAAGAGTAAGTTGTAGGTAATCGCAAGACCTTTAAAATGACGCATCTAGCGATTGAAAAATCCTAATTTTCATCGAGATATTCACGAAAAACCGCAAAAAAGCAATGATTTTTCGAAAAGTCATATCTCCTTTATTTTTTATCGTACAGAATTAAGATTTCACGAGAAAGTTCTTTGAATCATCTTCAAAACACAGAAAAAAATTGAAATCTCTAAGACTCATAGTTTTCTTGTAATCGCTCATTCAAAATTTAATTTCAATTTTTTTCATGTTTTCTCGGAGCTCATTTTTGTAACTCGAGCGTTTGCGTATCACTTTTTCAGCTAGTACAATGCATTTTGGAGATAAGAAATATTCATGGTACTTGTAGAGAAAGGCTTGGAAGTTCTAAAAAAACCATTGTTTAAATTGAGATTAATTATTCCGCTGGGCAAGAATGAGCTCCAAGAAAACATGAAAAAAATTGAAATTAAATTTTGAATGAGCGATGACAAGAAAACTATAGAGTAAATGTGGGTATTACTGCGGGTGCACCTATTACTGCGGGAGAAAAATAAACTAATATTATGATTTTCTAAATATATAAGACTGTAACTTAACTATATCAGTATTTAAAGTAAGTTTTTCTCGTCCTATGAGTTGAAAATTAATAGATAACAATGAAGTTAACTATTGTTAAAGCATTCTTAAAATGTGATTCTCGAAATCGAGCAAAAAAAGTTGAAAATTTTCGTGTTTAGACCCATTATGTTGTAGTTGATTTAATTAATTGCATCGACTTGGAAAGAAAAGTGATACTTTTATCAGTAAGCAAGAACGACGCAGAAAATATTCAATTAACTTTTATATCGATTTAAAATTATTATCTATTTTTTTTTATTGATACAATGTTAGGTACATCATTTTCTTGAAATGAGTATATTACTGCGGTAGCGCTGCACATATTACTGCGGTAACATAACCAAATAATCTTAGATCTATGACTTCGCAGTTCGCCAATATCAATGTTTATTGAATAATAGACTTACAGTAAAAGCATCATGGGAAAAGTAAAAAAAAATTGTACCAAGTAATAACAAAACCAAAATGAATGAAGCCATCAAAAAAGGTAGTACCATCGCCGAAGCTTTAGGTACCTGAATCAACGATCCGAGCTCGAAAACCAGGAAAATATAAAAGCGACAGGTCAAGACGTTCAACAGTTTTTACAAAAACTGAAGAGGATGAGATAGTGGACTGGATTCTAATTCGATGTGAAAAAGGGCATCCCATAACTAAAAAGCAGCTACTTGATTGTGTTGAAGTTATATGTCTCTGAATAAAGACGTAAATTCCTTTCAAAAACTATTTAAGAAACATTTTTTTTATTAATGAGTTGAAAATAATTTTAACAGTATCGAAATCTTGCATTTAAAGCTGAAAAAAAACCATCGTAATTCATGCGCAGTATAAGGTCATCCGCAGTAATAGGTGCACAGTAATGCATGCATGTACCGCAGTAATACATGGATCCATTTTTATTTTTGAAATTACTGTTTAATGATATTAAATTGGAATTAAACAATTTTTAATATTTGAATTGTCTAGCCCAGATCCTGAACAATAACGTAAAAAAAAATTATTAGGCAAATCTTTTTACAACGTTTAATATCGAAGGTTGGAAAACAACCTAAAAAAACCGCAGTAACACCCACATTTACCCTATTAATTTCACCAACTTGTAAAGTGATTTGAGCTCACAGTACACTAAAAACTGACACTAGCGATAAGATCTAATGTTAAATGGCCAAAACTTTGAATCTCATTATTTCTCATGTTTGCATGGAAACCCCAAACTTTTTTTACCAAAAATCTAGGAATTTCATAAACTATCATTGATTAAAATTTCACTTCGATTTAAAGTTTTTTTCATTTTCGCTACAGCCTCCTTAAATGTGCTAAACTTTGAATGTAATTATCTCTCGAATTTGTTCGGCAACCCATAATTTTTTTTTTACCAATGAATTTGTTACTACAATAACTATCATGTGTTGAAATTTTACGAGGATGGTTAATGAATTACGTTTTCGATCGAGCCTCCTGAAAACTTTATTATTACAGCTACATGCGCTGACAACACTGCGCTACCCAGTACAAACTCCGATCGGGTTGCTACCTCGAGAAACATACAAGAATATCCAACAAGAAAAGATAGGAAAACTAATCAGCTGACATCACTTTTACACTCTATGAAAAAACGTGTCCAACATTCTTTATAGAAAGCCAGTAAAGCAATTCAATTAAATCAAGTATCTTAAAATGCACCTTGATCGTCGTCTCACTTGGAGAACATAGAACTAAGGGAAAACAATTGAATTGAATTGAAAATTATAAAAATCTATGAGTTACTTGGAAAAAATTAAGCATTGAATGTAGAAAATAAATTGCTACTTTACAAAAGTATTTGAAAAATAATTTGGATCTATGGAATCCAATTATGGAGTGCATTTACAAAATCTAAAATTGATAATGATGTAACAAATCAAGCTTTACGAACCAACCTATAAATTCCCCCAGATTGTAAAAATAACAAAAAAAATTTTGGGACATCCTATATAGGCATTTATAAAGGGTATGACGGTGCATCCGCGTTCACTACGCACGACTCGCTTTCGCCTGCAAACGCACGCTTCTTCGTCTCGGTGTGCTTGTCGACTTTACCGCACGCGTGGAGCCCCAGACAACCGCGAGGTCGTTGCTGACGAGCAACACAATTTCGAACTCTCTTACTACTCGACTACCTGGCCGGCTAGCCCATGTACTCCGAGACTCGCTCAAGGCAACGCGCGTTCGATGCAGCGCTAGGTCTGCTCGTACACGCCAATGTACCGTGCCTATTTCCGCGTCCTTACCTACTTCGCGTCTAAGCCCTACAGAATTTACACGCGAGGCCAAGAGGCCGGTTGTGCCGAAGCACGGGTCGCCTGAGGGCCTTGAGGCCGCGTCGCGCACTCGACGAGGCTATCCGCTGGCACACCTTTGCGCCAAGCGAAAACGCACGTATCACAACGGTCCTGTGATCCACACTCATAATGCTATCACACAGCAAGCGCAACTACTCACGAAATCTTGGTTATCTCACGCAAAATCGCACAAAGATTTCTAAGCTTAGCTGCCGTCCGATCGATGTCGCAATCGGTCAACCACTCTTCTATCGCTCACAGACTACTCACTGACTCGAGGTTTTCCGCTACTCCGCGGGAGACCACTCACGCTTCCCCCTCTCTGCGGCCCACACGCAAGTCGCTCGCTCGGCTTGCAGACCGCTGGACTCAAACAAAAGTATTGCTCCGTTTGTGAGCTCAACTCCGCAATGACTCGGCGAGTCACAGCGGCCACCATATGACCACCACGTACAAGGGATGTACGAAGGGATTTACGATACTTCAAATCAATCATCAACTAGGGGAGGAGGGGGAATCTCAACTAGGATTAAGTTTTGTGTCAAATTAAAAACAGGACAGATATAGTATATTTTGAATATAAAAATAAAAATAGCACTTTACCTTCGGTGTACAAGCTGTAAGGGTTGAATAGCATCTTATGGAGATGTATGTAAGAATCTGTACCTTCTTCATCATCTGTTATTTTCATCAAACCAGGCAAAAGTGTATGAGCAAATCTAAATGCAGCAGAGGCGAAACTATTAGCTATAGTCGGATCGACATTTTTGTATCGATTTAATCGAAAACCTGCTGTTAAAGGCTTTAAATCTTTTTTTTTCATTTCATTTTCTCCAATTATAATAGGTAAGAATTCATTGTACGTTATATGTTGCAGTTGAGCTCCAACAATGCGTCGAGATTCTTGATACAATTTCTCATCACTCCACAATGGATTTATAGTACTTAAATGATTTGATATTTTATTGTGCTGACGTGCCCATATAAGATGCATTGTCGTAAGATGTAAATTTTCATTAGCTCGAGGATCACCAGATGCAAAACAATATCTACCATGTAATATTTCTTCATCTTTGTTGCAACCATCATTTGGGTTATCACTAACAGGGAGCAATGTTCTATTGTCCGGAGATATTTGCATTCTTAAATATCCTTTGCTAAATTCTCTTAATCCTCTGGCTGTTTTAAGATCAGCGCCATAAATTTGGGATCCATCAATGAAAGAAGTGACCTTCAGACAATTTAAAAATTCGTTAATTTTCATGCAAAGGTTATAACTAAAAATTCATAGAAATGAGTAAAAAGTAAAACATCAATATTCATTACAAAAATTAAAACTCAAAAATTTACAAGTCAGTTAGACTAAAAATCTGATACTTAGATTATCTAAAATCTATTTTAATTACATAAGAGTACCAAAAGTGAAACTTCAGAGTTCTTTTACTTGGTTGAATTTTCTTTCTGGAATTTTAGTTTATTTTTTTCGATTTTATACTTGCTTGAACTTGAAAGAATTTATTTTTCATAGTAAATTTTTTAGGATTTTTCTGTTTTCATACTACGATGTTTTCAATTAATTTTTTTCTTTAACGAGTAATTTATCTGAATCGAATGCAATTTTTAAAATAGAATGAATAATAAGAGATGTAAAAGAAAAAAAGTATAACGAGGCACGTTTTTATGAGCAATTTATTGTTATTAAAAAAATCAACTGAATAATGTTTTCATTTATCGGCACTTTGCTATTGGCTCTATATCAGAGTGACTCTTGCAAGCCAACTATTGCCCAGAGAAACTTGTATGAGAAAAATTGCTAAATGCACTACTTATCTTGCTTATTATCTTTTGCTATGAAATGTTATTAACTTTTAAAAGAAACTTCCAGTAACTTTTATTAATTGACGTAAATTTTCAAATTCGAGACTCTAATAAAAGTTAATAAAAGTGTGACGGGGCGCAAGGTATGCAGCCATCGAGCCACGAAATCTCGAATACCTCGCGCGAGCATATGTGTGGGTGTATGTGTTTTTGGCGACTTACAGGTCCACACGGCAACAACAGCAGCAGCGAGCAACAACGCTTCGACACGTGCGATGGCGAGAGAGACGGACAGTGGCGAAAGTGCAGACAGGCTGGCTCGCCATAGATCGTGGCAGATTAGCTCGAGCACGCAACAGCCCGACACGTGTGAGATTCACACAGTAGCCATTGTCGAGATTTGGCGAGGTTATAGTCGGTAGGAAGTACGAGAGTTCCGAAAAAAGTCACGGTGTGTTATGCTCGTGGAAGACGGCAAGCAAGAGGCCGACGGGCAAAGAGAAGTGCACTGTCACCCAGAAGGGCTTGTTTGTTTCGTGTGTGCTCGCAAAGTTTGTCGCCCGTGAGGCAAGTTTCGCCCAGTTGGGCCTGTGTGCGAGTCAGTGCAGAAGTGCAGAAACATAGTTCGACATCTTTGCCCAGACGTGGGCATAACACCGCATCTGGCCGTCGCAAGCAGATAATCGACGCCCAAACGAGGGCTAACTGTTGCATCCAAGAGGTGGAGTCGATCCAACGTCGAGGCGCCGAAGATTTGAGGTTAGCTTATAAGATTTTTCTCGCGTTTCTTGGTTGACGCGACTGCCGGGTCACGAGCGTGTGCTTGTGCGTGTGGCCTTGAATTCGGCTGACGAGTATCGCAGCGGCGATACGCAGCGAGCAGAATGTCGGTGTGTGTTGCGTTCGGCATCACGAGATCCGATCGACGCGAGTGCTGAGCGCGCCTCTGGTGGGCAAAGTCGGAAGTAAAGTTAGGTCGAACTTGTGCCTCGTCGCGTGGTATTGTAAATCATTGCCCGCTGGGCAATGTGAAGTGGTTTTCTGGCCAATCGGGCCATGAATTAAATAAAGTATTATATTTAATCGACATTCTAGCCTATTTATTTCATGACATTACTTTTTGCCGATTTCAGCAGAAGTTGCCGGAGTTCAAGGGCGAGTCAGCGAGTCCACAGGAAACTCGCAATAACGACGGGCCCAATATCCCTTTTGGGAGAAATCGACCTGGTAAGGTGGTCCTGTATTAAATTTATTCAACGTCAGGTGACTTGCTGCTTTTCCCCATCCAGGGGTCAGCCATCCGTCCCAAAAGTTTATAGAAGTTATTATGAGTTTATAAATGGGTCATTCTCCTGGAGTTCAAGTTCGGAAGTGCTCTGCTACAGACGTGCGTGTAAGTGTCTCTCATTAGTTTTGCTCTTAGTGCCAGAAATCGGTGTTTTTTGGTGCCGCATCAGCTTGCGAGTGCTAAACTCTCTCAGTGCAGCCGAATAGTAGGGAACCGCTTTTTTAAATGCTCACTGGCCTGCGACAGTTAAGGCGACTTTTTCCGGGCCTATTGGTGTGTGGTTCACGCTAATGTGTGTGCGTCGATCGCAAAATATCGACCGGTAACTCACACACAATCTTCGCGCAGCCCGCGGCGACAGGCATGACAGCCATGACTGCCGGGCTGCTGGACCTACAGGCGCTCTCCAAGAGCAGCGAGCCGCTGGAGAACACGCCGATGTCGACGTGGCTGCACTCCTCGCAGACGTTGTTCCCCGCGATGGCGGTTCCGCCACTCTCAGCGGCGGACATCATGAAAAGGATAGTAGAGGCTGCTTTAATGGCCAAGGATGACCCCGTTCCCTCTCTGAAGGAGTTCTCCTCCGGAAACCAGGACGAAAAGATGATCAGGCTGGAGGGCCTCATCCAGGGTCTTGCTGGTTACGCGAAGGGCAGGAGGAAACCTGCGACCCAGCTGCAGAGATTTTCTTCCTGCCTCATCCGGGCGTTCACAGCACTGCAGAGGACAATGGAGTGCCCAGAAGTGCTCTCCTCGAAGGAGGCCGTGGTGGCCGCATCCACACCGTCCTCGACGAGGAAAAAGCGACCCGCACTGTAGCCACCAGAGGTCGCTGTGGCGGGGAAGCGCGCCACCAGACCCCACCTGCACGAGTACGAATAGGTTGTTGACGCCAACAACAATGCCACAGCCAGCGAGGAGACCTTCACGGGGGTTACCGACTATTTATCCTTTGGACAAATCAACCCGACAATTCATCCGGGACATATCAACCCGAAGACAATTCATCCTATGACAATTCATTCAGACAACAAATCATCCCGAAAATAAAAAATTGGGAATAATTATGAATAAATGTTGTATACAAAAATTATGGAAATAGATAACACGATTTATTATGTTATCTCAGCACGACAACAAAAATAACAAATGAACAAGTCGAACATAGAACAAACATTGTATTATAAATAAGACCGATATACTTTTTAAATAAGACAGCACATCAAATTTACTGTATGACGACACTACGGTAAATAATCTATCTTCAAAGTCCTGTAAATGTCTTTTACGATTTGGAAGTAACTCGCCACATTGAAGGTCGCCAATTAAATTTTCTTGCATTCCCTGCTCAACTTGAATGCACTTCAGAAATTTCCAGATGGTCTCGTGGCTTTTGTGCATTTTATAACTGAAACCACGATGGCACGCCTCGACGCCATTATTAGTACGGTTATTGTCACTTACGACGGACGGCTGACCCCGGTGTGGGAGAAAGCAGCAAATCACCTGCCGTCGAATAAATTTCTATAGGACCACCTTACCTGGTCGAGTACTCCCAGAGGGGATATTGGGCCCGTCGTCAGTGCGAGCTTGCTGTAGGCTCGCTGGCTTACCGTTGACCTCCTGTAACTGATGCTGAAATCCGCGAAAAAGAACGGTCGCGAAATAACTAGGCTATGGTGTCGATTAAATGTACTTCTTTATTTAATCCAAGGCCCAACTGGCCGAAAAACCACTTCAAATTGCCCAACGGGCGATATCTTACAATAATACGCGACGAGGCACAAGTTCGACTCGACTTTACTTCCGACTTTGCCCACCAGGGGCGCGCTCGGCGCTCGCGTCTACCGTATCTCGTGATACGAGCTTAATCGGCCGAGCCAATATGGCCGCTGCGCGCGCGATCTATGCGACGATGTCGAGTGCACGTGTACCGACGCGACGTGGCACTCGC